TGACGAGATTGCCGTCAGCCAACGCAACGGGACAATCGCAAGCGTTGCTCCATCCGTCGCTAGGGACCAGCTCGATCATGTTAGGCTATCGGAGGATCCTGGCCATGTGATAGCTACCTTTGGCACACAGCAAGTGATTCAGTTGCAAAACCAACAGTTGACGATGCTACATACCGGAGAAAGTCAGAGCAACCTGACCGGTGGGCACTTGGGCTACCAGCAGCGGTCAGAGTCTCCGGACAGATTTATGACTGGAGGAGTGAGTGACTTAGTTGGCGGTAATGGAGTGGCTTTTTACAAAACCTCTAGCAAGAATCTGCAGGCTATGCAACCGCTCATGCATTCATAAATCCTATCCCTTTTAGAGATTATTTATTTATTTATCTTATCGGGTAGCCGAGGATCGGCACTGCGGAGTCCTCAGAGTGTGGTAGGATTTTAGCATGCCTAAATGTATAGAGGCTTATATTGGATAATTATACACTTGCTTGTCATAAAATAAGTTCATTCTTTGCTTACATCCATTTTCATCAAAGCACAGTTGTCGATAGTCTGTGATCTACAGACATGACTTTTACTGTAGTAGAGAGTAATTATGCCACATTATTTTTTATATTAGGTCTTCTTTCTTTTTTGAATCTGCTTATAAAATGTCATACTACAGATAAACTAGGCACTCATTTGGGAATTGAAATGGATGCACTTCTTGAGGTAACTTATCTTTTGCCAAACAGCCTATATTTTTAATAATAAATCCTATGTCTAAAGACATTCTCAATTGTTGCGCTTAATAATATATTTCTATCCCTAATTATCTTCACCTTTCTTTAAAAATTTCCTTTGTAGACACACATTCTTCGTCACCAGGAGATGTCCCCAGCGCAACGATCTCTTCTGATGACCATCAATGAAAATGTGCAGACTCTGGAGCAGGCTAAACGTCGCCTTGATATAGGACCGCCAACAGAGCGCTTGCTACCAAACTTAGGCACTGATGAGGTTGGTCGAAAATATATTCGGCTTTCTGTAACATTATCACTCGGTTCCCAAAACAAAAAAGATACTGAACACTATCAGTTTTGCTGCTCTCTTCACTCAACCACTTTAAGGAAGCATTTTTGCCTTTCAACTTGACGGTTTGCTTCCCATTCTGTAGCCATCAAGCGCTTGCTCGTATATTGTCTATGCTATAAAGACCAGGGTTTTAGGGTCACTGTTTTGGTCACGGTCTCCTTCTGCTGTATACAAATGGTCCGTCCTCGTTTGAGTAACTTGGTCGTGTTGTCAAGTTGACCTAGTTCCACGCACCGTCATACGATATCCTAAATACCATGATCACCTCACTCATAGTCTCAATATATTCAGACTCAGATAATACTTATCTTATATTTGGCATATCTGACAGCTGGAATAAAAATTAAACGATCTATTGAGATATACCATTGGTCGATTAGTATTTTAAGAACGGGTAAGTTGTCTGCCTAAGGGTTTTTTTATTATTGATTCCATATCGGCTGAAATGAGTTTCTTATTCAAGGTCTATCTTGATATCACCTCCTATTTCTAAGAAACTTTTCCAACTAACCTTTGTTTTTCCTTTTTCATGGAATTTTTCAAAATTTAGCCCTCCATAAAGGCATTTAAGTTGTTTTGGTTTAGTAGTCGGCTCTTTCACGAGATACTACGTATTTTCTATTCAATCTCCACACTAATTTAATAATTTGTTTAATTGGAATATTGGAATAAGATTTCCTTACAAAGGGTTTTTAACTCATGTTTTTCTATAAAAATACATATCAGACCTCTCTCCATATAAACTATATCAAATCCAAA